CATAGTGGAAGGCATAGAACAAACGCGCAATCTTTTACAATGAAGCTGGGAATGCCATCCGGGCCCGCAGTCATTTTGTTCTTAAGGGCCCTACTCGCAGTGATAACTTCGTCGGTGGTTATTGTTGGGGAGATATCAACAAGATCCGAGGAGGACAACAAAGAACTACAATACACATAGATACTAACAACATAGAACTACATAAATCAAAAAACTACTTCTTTATTTTTCTTGATAAATACTTACTATTAAACTATTGTAGGTAAATTAAATAAAACTTAACTTTAATAAATTTAAATAAAGTCCATCAAGTAATGTAGATTTTGAAAATAGCTACTAAATGTCACTAGCAAATTGCCATGGCGACACCAGCCATCTTGATTGCCATTTTATTGAAAAATCGCTTTTTAAAGCAAAACCCTAATATAGTTTGAAAGAGCATTTAAATCTGCTTCGACTTGTTTTAAAAAATACATAGTGTTGTATTTGAAATCACAAAGTTTTTATGTAAAATAAATATTTAAAATAGCCCAGCAATAACATTTTTTAGTAAAGTTTATTTTTCTGGCTTCAAAGTCAGCACAAGAATTAACTCTGAAAAGTAATGTACAGGGTGTTGACAAAGGTTTATATTATAGCATGCATATTTAAATATCTTTAAATATCTCAAAAACCAAAGCATTTAAACATATTAAACCTTTATAATAAATGCCTTACTTTATGCCCAAGAATCCAAAAATGAAATAAAATACCGGGTGTTCTATAAGAAAAAATATAACTTTGGTATGGATCTTAGTTCTGACACACCCTGTATATTTGAAAATAATTTTAAATTATGCACATTACCTCTCTACGTATACCCATAAGAATTTTTGTTTCTACATCTTTCCGTTTTCGTATAATCAAACGAGGCGAATGAGGTGCGCCATCCTGTATGTTGATATGAAAAATGAATCTTATTTTTACGTGAGGAATCTCCCCACGATAGATGGCGCAAGCTTTTTTAAACACCCTGTATGTAAATTTTACACGCTGAAAGATTCACAATTTTAAATAAAAAGTTATAACAAACGTTTTAAAAGTTTATTAATATAAAACAAATTCTCGTCTGTGACTATACTGTGAAATACCATTATGGCACAGTTCTGGGAAGGGGCATAAAATGTTTTGGATTGTTAGTTACTAAACCTAACGCCTTTGTCCATCTATGGTAAATCTATAAAAAATAAACGTAACAGATCTTGGCAATAGGTATATATAGATGGTGGATTAAATTTACAAGAAAGAAAACCGAGGAAAAATCCAGTGGTTCCCAAAATTTAAGCAAAAAATAATTCTTTTAATTTTCAAAGCAAAATAACTCGGTTATTTTGGATTTATTTGAAAAACGGCAAAGAGAAAATATGTTTCCTTCGTCGATATCTACGAATCCTGAAAATATTTTGCACTTATTTAAGACTGGCCCTATATATCGACAATTTTAAGAAAGTATTAGTATGAATTGCCCTGTTCTTTTGCTCGGTTTTCAACTATTCCATGTTTCTCATCTATTCCATATAATGTCGCCTTTATACTCCTCCTATTGAGCGATCCAGGCAGTATTGAATTTTAATGCCGAATAGTTTGTTTGCAAGCCCCAATTTGCTGCAGGTATCCAGGTTCTGGTCCAGAGGGAAACGTCCAATCCGAGGTTTTCCACATAATCCGCTCTGGTGACTATTTGTGGGGGTGGGGGAGGCATAAAAGCTCTAAATAGGGGAGGGCGGTGTAGAATGGGAATGCAGTGTAATTTTCGCGGTTAGATGATCAATTATTTCGGACAGTATGAGGTTAGTTAGGGATTCAGAGGCGCCTTTTATTTTATAAATTATGAAAGTTTATAGAAATTAGAATAGAAAGCGGAATAAATATGTATACAGAGTGGTCCGAACCAAAGGTCCGAACTGTATTCCGAAAACTTCGCGGCAGCATATTCTGCAGATGAAAATAAGTAAAAAAGTTCGAACAAATGTATGTCCTAAAATGCTTAGTTTCGGAGATACATGTTGTAGAAGTTTAATTTTTATTACGATTTTTTTCCAAATAATTTCTAAAGTAAAGTCAATATTTGGATGAAAATTGGTGAATGGGAGTTTTTTAACATGAGAAATTAGATATTGATGTCAATATAACTCCTACTTGTAGGGGGCGCCACCTACATATTTTTAACGGGTTTCAAGAATATTAACTTTTCGTCCGCATCTGTATAAAGCTACCGAGTCAAAAAATATACATTTACGACATTTTTTACATAAAAAATGTCTCTTAGTAAAAATCGCTACGAGTAATGGCTTTCGAGATATTTGGAATCAATTGTTTTCAATATTTGGAAATTATCAATACCTGTCATCATTGACATACATTGAACATGTTGACTAAATAGTTATTAGACTGAAATCATAAATTTGAAATGTTTTATGCAAAAAGTTCAACAGAAACTATTTTACCATCATTTTTTCGAGAGATTTTTTATAAAAGATTTAAAAAATAAAAATTTCCCAAATTTATTATTTCAGTCAAATAATTTTATTATAATAAATACCTACTCAACGTGTTTATGACATGCAGTGACTATTTCAATTCTAAATATCTTGAGAACGGTTGCTCGTAGCGATTTTTACCAAGAGACATTTTTTACGTCAAAAGTCATGGAAATGTATATTTTTCCACTCAGTAGTTTTATACAGGTACGGACGAAAAGTTATTACTCCTCAAAACAGTTAAAACGTATGCAGGTGGCGCCCTCTACAAATAGGGTCATATTGACATCAAAATCAAATTTCTCATGTCAAAAAACTACCAGACACAAATTTTTATCCAAATATTGACGTTACTTCAGAAATTATTTGGAAAAGATCGAAATAGAAATGAAACTTCCACACCCTGTATCTCCCAAAATAAGCGTTTTAGGACATTTTCCGGAATACAGTTAGGACCACCCTGTATATATAAATCTTCTGTATTACTGAGTCTGCTTTCATTTTTAAATTATTTAATGAAAAAAGCTTTTATATCAAAACATTTTTATTTATTTATATTACTCTCTGTCGTACATTAATATTATTTCTATTATTTATTCTACTTCAGTATATAAATCCTTTGTGATATATTTTTTATTTAAATTCTCTAAAATCTAACACAATTCCACATTAAGTATTAAAAATAATAAGCTTTATTTTTAGATAACTAACTATAAAACACATATTATTATACAGGGTCTTTCAGCATCACTATCTCTGCAGATTGTCCTTCGTAATAGATTATCATATGGTATGCAACCAACTTTCCGTAAGTCGTAGCGACTCGTGTATACTCGTGAACAAGCACGGAGGCTTGTGACGGAGGTGTTGACTCGTGTAGTGATTTTTCCTCATTACTCGATCGGTTGATTTCAATCTTAAGCATATAGTTGGCATAAAGTTGAGAATTGATCTTTCCAGATAATGAGCATTAGTAATTTGCGATTTGTCAATTTTGTGAGAAGTTTAGATATGTAGAATGAATCTAGAGTTATATTTTTGGCATGGAAATGTTGAAAAGTGTGGGAAACAAAGACAGATACCTTGATGCGAATTTTAGACGAAAATATAGTTATATTTGCGGAGCCTACTTCGAACGTATTCTGAATGCTAAGGCTCTGTTCACAAGTACTTATAAGGCAACAAAATCGACGATATAAACCATTTTCTCAGTGCAAATCCTGCCTCAGCGTCCAGAATACTTTCAGGGTGGGCTCCGCGAAGCTATATTTGTCTTTAAATAGAATAAAGGTTCTATTGTATATTTCTAAATTGATTTAGTTATACCGCGTGCGTCTCAAAAGTTATTGGCTCACCCTTATAATTTTTTTAGATAAAAAATGATATTTGGTATGTTACTAGAGATTTGGTTTGGTCATATTACAACCTTTTTGGTCACTTTCTGTTTCACCAGGAATGAACTTTTGATTTTTAAATGACACCCTTGTTATTATTTTACTTCATTTGATAGAAAATGACAGTCTGAATAGAATGACATAGCATATGTCAACTTTTGACATTTTAAATAAAAAAAAAGAGCATTTTAAATTTTAATTTAGAGTGCCATGGCCATAAATGTAACGATAATTTGACTCGAAATATCGTGGTACAAATTATTGGTAAAAAATGCTTTTTCCAAATATGCTAATGAACCACCCTTATTCCATTTGAAACAAATTGAGATATGATTAAAAATACGATTTGGGCATCTTTTGCTTAACCCAGTAATGCCTATGATATGATATTTCATACCCAAAACATCAAATCTCTGCGAGTCGTGACACGTCCAACCGTTTGTGAAAATTAATGATTTAGTTTGTCTTATACGTCGATTGTGAGTATATCTAAGTGCTAGTGTCAGTGAATTTTCCAAATATTCGAAAGGGTACGTAGAGCTGCAGTTGATATCTCGGGAAACTTTTTTTTATGCAGACATGCCGCAAGGTGAGGTTATATTTTATTTTTTTCTATAATAAGTACTTTTTTCTCAAATTGTTACGAAAACTTAATAGCCAGTACTTTATTTTATTCCAACAAAACTAATTAAAACCAGTTTTTTCGTTAGTTTTACATTTATTGAAGTATCTTTTCAACATATGAAATATCACATCATAGGAAGTAATGTATAAATTTTGTTTTCAGGAAGAAGTGAGAACCCACAAGACGCCAAGGAGCTTATCAATTTTCTTGATGTTATCAGTGATGATGATGAGAATTATGAAACTCTGCAGGAATGTGATCGACTTGATTTCGTATTATTACCTCCAGATGATGGCCAAGATAGCGACAAAGACGATGCCCAAAGCGATGAAGAGGAACCATTTCAACTACATGATTTAGGAAAGGGGATTTTGAAACAACCAGTTGAAGTTTTTGCCGTGAAAGAAAAATCCCGTTAGAAAACTGAAATAAATCCAGGCTCCCAAAATACGGCTGTCAGTGATGAAGAAACTGATGAAGATGATACCTCTTTCAATTTTGGCTAAAAAGATCCGAAAAGAAGCTACAGACGAAACACCTAGCAGCACGAACGATCAAAACAGGTCTATAAAAGGAAAGAAAGTTAGAAAGTGGCAAACAAAATTGCTGAATCCCATTCCAGAAAAATTGAAAATTTCCAAATCTCCTTTACCAGGTGTTGCAAATAAAATCAAAAACGATGGTATAGCACCAATAGATTTATTCAAACTGTTTTTTCCAGAAGAATTCGTACAATTTATTTGTGATGAAACTATGAAATACGTCATTTTTAAAGGTAACCATAACTTCTCTGTATCCACTAGAGAAATGTACATTTACCTTGGAATCTTGATTTTATCTGGGTACAATAAGTTACCTGCCAGAAGAATGTACCGGGAAACAAAGTCTGATACATACAATCATTTAGTGAGCAATAGTATATCTAGAGATCGTTTTGAGTTGATACACCGTTACCTACACGTCAACGACAACACCAAGATTGACCCTAATAACAAGGTTTACAAGATCCAACCCCTCATTGACAGAGTAAATGAAGTCTCTCAATTGCTAGCAGCATCTCTCTGAGAAAAATTTTCCTTAGATGAAGCGATGGAGCCCTATTATGGTCGCCACCATATGAAGCAGTTCATACGAGGGAAGCCAAATAGGTATGGATTCAAATTTTGGCGCCTCTCTACATCAGAAGGTTATTTGCTCAAATTTGATCCATACTGTAGTGTTGGTGACAAAAAGGAAGGCAAATCCTTGGAATCGTATTTACCTCCCGGCAGCACACTCTTCATAGATAACTTCTTCAACTCACTGTCACTTTTGGAAACTCTGAAAGCAGAGGAAATATTTTGTATTGCCACAATGAGGGCCGATCGAGTAGATAAGGCTCCATTGAAAGATCTGAAAAAAGAGCCACGTGGAAGTAACCATGTCCTGCAAGAAGCTGATAAATCCACGTGTTTGATAAGATGGCATGATAACAGTCAGGTTACTATCGGAACCAACGTAGACAGTGACCAGATTTGCTTCTCGAAAAGCCAGTGTAGACGTTGGTCAAAAAAGGAAAGAACCTTTGTCCAAGTGGACAACCCAGTCTTGTCAATTTGTATAACCAAGGAATGGGTGGAGTTGACTTATTCGACAAACTAAGGGGTCTTTATCGTATCAGAATACGATCAAAGAAATGGTATTGGCCATTTGTCAGATTCTGTATCAATGGAGCCTTGGTAAATATGTGGATTCTCTACCGCCATGCCTACCCGAAAACTGGTTTATTTTAGAGTTTACCCGAAGAGTAGTTTTATCAATTTTGATGTCACCTAAGCACCTTGTTTGACCAAAACCACAATGCAGCCGGAATGTACACACAGAAATAAGATTTGATAAAATGGACCACCTTGTTGCTTCTAATGTTACACAAAAGCAGTGCGCGTATTGTAAAAGATGTGCGAAGTTTTTCTGCTCTGAATGCAACGTGGGACTCCACCTGAAGGACTGTTTCCAAACCTACCATACTCCAAATAAGTAGAAATAAATTAATCTGAGTCGCAGTTATTAACTTTCATTTATCAGTTGCTTTCTAGTTAACTTTAATATTTAGATATGTATATGCCTATGATATGATATATCATATGTAAAAACTCAGAGTCTTACAATAAAAATTTTCTTTTTTCAACAATCGTAGGTCATTTTAGACATCCTAAAGATTCGTTTTTCACGAAATGGTGAATTTTGCAGAAAAAAAATTGCTCAGGCATTACTGGGTTAATGATTGCTCATTGATTAAAAATTGGCGTTTTTAGCACACATGGCTCTAGATGGAAATTTAAAATACTAGTTTTTAAGCGAGAATGTCAAAAGTTGATACATGGTATGTCATTTTATTCGGAGTGTCATTATCTACCAATAAAAGTAAAAAAATACTGAGAGAGTAATTTAAAATTCAAAAGTTGTAGTCATTTCCGGTAAAACAGGAAGTGAACAAAAACAATTGAATGCCAATCAATCCTAATTCATGTTATATACTAACATACCAAATTTCGTTTTTTTTATCAGAAAAAATAAAAAGATATAGGGGTGAGCCACTTCTGAAACGCATCCGGTAGACCTGCGTATTGTTAGTTGCATTCGGTAACATCACACTAACTGTGTTAAGTTTTTTCTGTGTATCCCATTCCCGGAGGCCAAGGTATACATGGTGCTACAAATTCGAGGTACGAGCATTGGTATCTCGGTAACCGTAATAGATACGAACATGGTTAAATTGGGGAAAAGTTGCGCTTTGGGGTGTTCAGCAAGATACCATCAAAAAAGTTTTAAAAATTTCAAGGGTTGCTGAGTTTGGTTTAGATTTTTTTGAAAATCAATTTTATTTTTTCCTGTCGTTACTTTTACGAAAATCAAAAAACTAATTGCACACTCTCAAAGCCACTTTATAAGGGCTATCTGATAGTATTTTTAGATTTTCAAATTAGCTGATAATTTGTGAGATACAGAGGCCAACTTAATTTTTTTAAATACGGACCTGCATTTTTTATTTCAGATTTTGAAAGAACTCGGTCTCCTGAGTACAATGATATGCCACACTTAATTTTTTTTTTTGTTTCGGTCAATTTGAACACAATTTATTTAAACTAATTTCAAGTCCGGCTCTGTTTTTTTTTTAAATATTTAATCTAATCATCGTTACAATATTGATAAGCTTTCAAACTTAACAATGGCGTGAGGTAAAACATTGAATATTGAAAATCAAATGCAATAAAATAATATACAAATGAATACATTACTTGACGTCATTTGTAAAAGTGAAATCAATACATCTCAATATTTACAATAAAGAGTACAAAATGCTTTCGGAAGTATAAGAAGAAAGTTCAAAGAGCTATAAATAAAATTGAACGAAAAATAAATCTGTGCAATAGGGAGGGTGGTAACTCTTTCGAACATGTAGAGCATTAGAAACTAGTTTGTAGAAGTTGATTTATTTATAATAACTACGATGAATATTACGCATATTATTAGATCGCACACTGACAGCACAGATTAGGTATCCTATAAGTATACAGATAAAAATCTTGTCCCTAATTCGTGGTACGAAAATTGTTTTTTATGACGATGTGCAAACGAGTCAAATTTCCTGTGCGCAAAAATAAACTCGCGTAAAATAACAATAAACAGCGTAATAGAGAGATATCGCTAAACCGAATAGCGTGCATGGACGTTAATAAGGCCAGGTGTTATTTCCTTTACGTGAGGTGGTATTAACTCTCTTCATTTATAGTTATCGGATCGGAAAGAATTCTGATCGCGTCGCGTCCGCTATTTAAACTTAACCTAAGTTTGAATTTAAAACTTTGAAATTGTTTTGTTTCCTAGGTATTTTAAAACTAAAGGGCTAAAGTGCTTATTTCCAGTACTTTATTGTTCAACGTCTGCCAGTGGGTTTAGGGCAACAAGCAACAAATTCTCTTAGAAGGGCTAAGTCGTCATCTGCTGTAAACCTAAGACTCTTTGTAGGTTTTTTAGTATTGGAAGAGGTGGAATCCATATTTTGGGTCATATTTATTTAATTAAAACTAATCCCAGCTACTTAAATATCAAATTACCTAATAAAACTAAAGCAATAATTCAAAACAATTCAAACATAACTTAAAATAAAAGATCTCGCCGGCCGGCTCCGGTTGTCAAATATCCGCACATGCCCATTTAAGCAATTTTTAAACGTTATCAGAGGTTATTTAGAAAGAGCGCTTGGTGTAATTGATCCGCAAATTACGTCAGGCGGTAACGTTATTAGCGGGTGTTGCGTTAAAAATTGACTCGCGCATATCGTAACCATGATAAGGTACGCGTAAATACTGGATGACGCTATTCGGTTTTCCGATATCTCTCTAATACCTGTGCCGGTCAGGCGCTGTGCACAATTTTAGAGGCCACAAGTGGGCGTGCTATGTGCTCAAACTAGTCACCTAACTAGTGCCCGATTCCGAAAATTGGAACCACGAAAAACAATAAAGAAGAAACAAAGATTATAATCTGTATAATCTGTGCTGACAGCGCTTTCGATGGAGACCGTCCGTCGTGTTTTTTCAAGATAACCGTCGGACGAACTCCGTCGGACGGAGCATACGCGCCCATGTGAAATTGTTCATATAAACTCATGGTAATTGCTCGAAGTCGCGGACGCTCCGCTCCGCCTGAAAGCGCTGTGAGATTTCAAATTCATAATAAAAAAAAGTTAAAAATAATATCTTTAAATTGCTGACCTGGATATGATTTATTTGAATCTTCCAGTTGGCTCGATTTTCCTTAATCAATGTTAATTAGCGCTGATCAATATTTTTGCGATAAATATAATCAGAGTAAATAATTAAAAAAGAGTAGGAATTGAAATTATTTTAAATAATAATTAAATAGCTTTTTTGTTGTTAAGATACCCAAAACCGCAAAAAAGTATAAAGTGTAGAATATCATTGTACTCAGGAGATCGAGTTCTTTCGAAACCGGAAATAAACAATGCAGGTCCGTATTTAAAAAAATTAAGTTGGCCTTTGTATCTCACAAATTATTAGCCAATTTGAAAATCTAAAAATACTACCTGATAGTCCTAATAAAGTGGCTATGAGAATGTGCAATTAGTTTTTTGATTTTCTTAAAAGTAACGACAGGAAAAAATAAAATTCATTTTCAAAAAAATCCGTTTTTTCTAAAAAACTCAGCAATTCTTGAGGTTTTTAAAACTTTTTTACTGGCATCTTAGTGAACATCTCAAAGCGCAACTTTGCCCCAACTTAACCATGTTCGTATCTATTACAGTTACCGAGATACCAATGCTCGTACCTCGAATTTGTAGCACCCTGTATATTAGACTCTTAAAAGCGTAAATTACAAAACGGCCTCTACTCTAGTCGCGAAGTAAGCCGAAGTAGCTCAAGGTTGAATAGTGAAGGAGGGTATTGCGTGTTTCCTCGTCTAAAGGAGGACTCTCACGACTCGTGTACTTGTACAAATATTTGTTATTGGCATATAGGCTTGTGCAATTATTCGTCAATCGCTGCGTCGCGTGGGCGCCAAACTTGCCAAGTACGCAAACACTGGCGTACTTGTCAAGTACACGAGTCGTCAGAATCCGCCTGAACTTTGTCTTGTCTCGGCTTATTTTCATTAAGGCGGACTCTCATGACTCGTGTACTTGTAGAAACATTTGTTATTGGCATATACTTGCCATGTTGTGAGAGCGGTTTACTTGTGCAATTATTTGTCACTCGTGGCGTCGCATGAGCGCCAAACTTTAAAAATGTTATTTACCAAGATAGTATACTTGCCAAGTACGAAAATATGCGCGTACTTGCCAAGTACACGAGTCATCAGAATCGGCTTTTAGACGAGGAAACACGAAATAACTCTCTTCACTATTCACCTTTGACCTACTTTGGCTTACTTCGCGGGTAGTGTAGAGGCCGTTTAACAAAATGTTTGTTATAAATCAACATTATCTGTAGAGTTATTTCGATTTACAGCAGAGGGTTGATGCTAGTAACCTTTAATAAAAGGCAGAGGAATGATCTGAGGTATGACGGGATCAGAATCGCTCTGATCGGTCGAGTCTTGTCAGCTTTCCACGTCTACACTAAAGGAATGAACGTGAGTTAGGGTGCTCCATAACGGCGATCTGAAAGAAATGGACCAAATAAATTAAAAAAAATTGACATACAAAAAAAAGAGTGGATCAAAATAAACTATAAAGAGCTTGTCCCAAGTTATCTCTTCAACCCAGTTGTATTGTATAATTTAATGAAGATATAATAGTTAAATTAGCTGTGGTTAATAACTTAAAATTTTAGCATTTTAGTTTATATAATTTTCTAGATATACAAACAAAATCGTGAAATAATTCTAAATAGATAGCATAAAGGACCAGAACGGCAACATAAGGTACAAGTAAGATAGCTATTATCTTTCTTCATTCTACACGAATCGTATTACAAGATTCGCAGGTATACAGGGTGGTCCGAACTGTATTCCGGAAACTTCGGCCAGCATATTTCGCAGATAAAAATTAGTAAAAAACTTCTTATAAATGTATGCTTAGTTTGCTATTTTTTTAAATTTTTTTGTTTGCTAAAATGTTTAGTTTCGGAGATACAGGGTGTAGAAGTTTCATTTTATTTCGATTTTTTCTAAATAATTTCTGAAGTAACGTTAATATTTGGATGAAAATTGGTGTCTGAGAGTTTTTTGACATGAGAAATTTTATTTTGATGTTAATATGAGTCCTATTTGTAGGGGGCGCCACATATACATGGGTTTTAACGGTTTTGAAGAGCAATAACTTTTCGTCCGTACCTGTATAAAACTACCGAGTGAAAAAATATATACATTTGATCATACCGCGATTTCTCACATAAAAAATATCTCTTGGTAAAAACCATTACGAGCAATAGTTCTCAAGATATTTAGAATGGAAATAGTCAATACGTGTCATTATCGACAAAAAATAAGATAAGACGAGATATAAATAAGATAACAAGAGATCTTTTTACGTAAAAAACGTCGTATATTTATATTTTTATCCAGGTACGGACAAAAAAACCAGTTAAAAAATATGTAGGTGGCGCCCTCTACAAGTAGGAGTCATATTGACATCAAAATCAAATTTCTCATGTCAAAAAACTCCCAGACACCAATTTTCATACAAATATTGGCGTTACTTCAGAAATTATTTGGAAAAAATTGAAATAAAAATGAAACTTCTACATCTTGTATCTCCGAAACTAAGCCATTTTAGGATATATATTTATACAAACTTTTTACTTATTTTTATCAGCAAAATATGCTGCCAAAGTTTCCGCAATACATTTTGACCACCCTGTATAGTCCGGTAGAGATAATAAATCCCGTAAGTTTTTTTAGGTTTTTTTTATGATTCTAAATAATTTTTGAGGTGTAACGTTGAAATTAAGTGTGGAAGTCACTTCGAAAATATTGGCGTTTGGTCGCTATATTAAATTATACCAGCAGAAAAAAAATAAAGGTGTAAATAAAAAAAAGAAACAACTTATTTCTATTTACACCTCTCGGAAACGGTAAGTTGCTAAACGACCAGTGAAGCCTCTACGGATAGAGCTAGTGGAGCTCTATATTCATTTAAACTGTGTGTTTCGAAAATGCACAGTTTCCGAGATATTTAATTTGAAAAATTTCGATTGCCAATTTTTTGGATATAGGTACCCCTTGGAAAAAAATCGAATTTTTTATTTATTAACTTTTTCCACTTTTCTCACCTGGTACGGTTAGAAGCATGTTAGAAGACGATAATTTAAGAATTTTAAATGCAATCTGACCCCGTTTTTAGGTTATGTTATATTTAAAAAAAATGCCGAAAATAAAAAAATCGGTTTTTATTTTTTTTCTTATCCTGTATGTACTTTTTTGACCAACTGAAAAAAGAAGTCCATAGTCCATTATGTCAGTCATTTTTAATTATCAAAAATTAATAAAGGTATCAAGTTAGATAAACCTTTTTTACAGTTGAATTATAATTAAGTTATATTAAAAAAAAGACCACCCTGTATACTTAAACTAATTTGATTGCATCAAGTATCAATCTCATACAAAATGAATAAAAAAGTTACCTTACCAGTTTATTTTTTACTCTAAAATAACCTTTATTGCTACATACCTTTCGGAACAGGCATCCCTTTTTATTATATGCTATCTGTTTTCATCTTCGTTTTCGTTCTCTTTGTCCGGTGTCATCATTTCAACAACCGTTTGTTCCACTTCCGGTTCAGATGCTTCGATCACCGTGTCCAGCTCTAAGGAGGGGAATCCCCTACTCATAGCCCTTTCTGACCTTAAACTGATTGCCCTAGATCGTCCTGTAAAACGAGAAATGATAAAACTGCCAGCAATAGGTCCTTTTTAGTCAATGACTAAAGAATACAAGGATTAATAACACCCGAGACCAAATTGTCACTATACCTCCAAACAGTGCCCTGGCACATATTTTTCTTAACATAGCTGCTTGAAGTGATATTATATTTTTGATGAATGTTTTGACTACGCCTATGGTGTATGCGGCGGTGTCATACTAATTAATTACGAAAAAAACGTTTTAAAATGTTAGCAAAAAGTACAAAACTAGTATCGACGTATAGCACATATCAAGTACATATAATATCAGAAAAATAATTATAGAATTCAATAAAAAAAAGGTGGAGTGAATTGTTTATTTACCGAAACGTAACTCCTGGATCTTTCTTATCGCTGGGGCTTTTACACTTGAAAGCTGAACAACTAATCAACATTTGTAATAAAATGTATACAAAGTTCACTACACACAAATTATTAATGATGACTCATTCGCTGATGACATTCGTTATAGCCAAAAAAATGGCGTTTAACATCACAAATTCTGCTGCAGGCAGTATATGGGCGTTACTTGTCCTTGTATTCTTTACTCAATGAATTGGCCCAGTTTAGAGTTTCATAAAACATTTTTTATACCAAAAGTACCCTATGATCAAAAATAACTGTTATTAATCAAGATACGTAATCAAATTAATCATTTCAATACAGCAAATTTTACTAATTCTTTTATTGTGTACAAAATGCATACTAGAAATTATATACAGGGTGGCGCCTATATTAGCGGCCTATATACAGGGTTGTTCACCACATACGACACGGAGTATTGTAGCTAAACGATTAGATTTTTACAAATTGTAAGTTTTGAGTTCGTTGAAGGACTATTAGAGCTACAATTTAAAAATATTTTTACAAGATACAGAGTGTCCCAAATAAATAAAAAATATCAAAGTTGTATTTTTTTAAATGGAACACCCTGTATATTATTACCTTTTTAGTTTCTATGATTAAAATAAAGGTAAATTTGATAAAGGTTTATTACACTTAAACCTTACCGTTTTTGAAATATTTTCAACTTTGTGAAATTGCAGTCAAAATGTTAAGGCTTCATTTCTCCAAGGCTATCGAAGTTTTTAATACTAAATATTTACTGAAGTTTATTTATTGATCAGTTGTTGTGTTGCAATAATAAAAATTATACTACCTTATACAGAGTGTCTAAAATTTTATTTTAGATACTGACTAGCTTTAAACGGCAATAACTTGTTTAATTTAAATGGAACACCCTGTATATTTTATGAGAATCAGATGCACAATTTAATTGTCTATCAAATTGTGTTATACCATTTTTTACCTATAGCTTCAAGTTTCCGTAGAAAATGCATTTTCTTGTAATTTTAAATTCATTTATCAATATACCCATGGAATACTGACATTTTAGATTATTTTTAAAAATCTACCAAATTTTTAAAGAGTACAGATACTAATATTGTCGATATAGTTTGTTTTTTTATTAAAAAATAAAAAAAAACTGTTTAAATATTTGTTAAAGAGGACCAATTAATATGATTAGCTAGTAATTATTTGAAATAAAATTTTAGACACTCTGTACAAGGTAGTCATACAAATATTGGCGTTACTTCAGAAATTATTTGGAAAAAATTGAAATAAAAATGAAACTTCTACATCTTGTATCTCCGAAACTAAGCCATTTTAGGATATATATTTATACAAACTTTTTACTTATTTTTATCAGCAAAATATGCTGCCAAAGTTTCCGCAATACATTTTGACCACCCCAATATAAGTGTGATAAACCTGAATAAAATTTACCATTATTTCAATCGTAGAATCTAAAAATAGAATAATATACAGGGTGTTCCATTTAAAAAAATACAACTTTAATATTTTTTACTTATTTGGGACACTCTGTATCTTGTAAAATTATTTCTCAATTGTAGCTCTAATAGTCCTTCAACGAACCCAAAACTTAAAATTTGTAAAAATCTAATCATTTAGCTACAATACTCCGTGTCGTATGTGGTGAACAACCCTGTATATACGGATAATAAACTCGGATTATACTGCAGGAACATATATGTTCCTAAACTTTAAAACACACAATTAAATTTGCTTTCAATCAAAACTGCGGTGCGAGGCAACTTTGAAAAGAGAATCGAGTTTCGATATTTAGAGAACTCTATTGCGAAGTTTGCCTTTTGGGGAAGGAGTTGTGACAGGTCGGCGAGTTAAAACGTGCGCTCCTGCTAAAGTTTTAGATTAATCCTAGAGTGGTTCCTCGGTGATAATCGCTTAACAAACTTGTCGTTGAATATTAGCAAGTATTAATAGAATAACTTGGAACTTAAACACACGTGTTCCGAGTATTACTGTAACTAAGACAAAATGATTTGTTCCTGGGACTAAAGTTCTAATTCTAGATTATCTTTTTGTCAAAAATTATTTTCTTCGGCTTACTAATCTAACAAGTTTTTACACATTTTTCTTTTATTATTCAGCATGTTCAAAGAAAAGGTTAGATCATCCATCCACTGTATTTTATTACATCATGATAATAATATCACAAGGATATCAAGTAGATACCAAAACCTTTGATTGAAAGAATTTGGAAAATATGCAACCAAATGGGCGAATTCGTGACAAGGTTGATTTAATTTCCCCTTATGTCTCAAGTGCTGTACGGTGGAGACACCAATCGTTCTGCGGTCAGCGCATAAAACTCTTATTTTCTCTAATTCGGGCGGCGCCGGCGCGGCGACGGCATATCGAAGACGGCGTGAATCTGAAAGCGACAATGTTGCCATATTAAAATGTGTAATATCTGTAATACGTTTGACGAAAATATCTTTGGATAAAAAAACCGCGTTTATGTATTGAAACTTTATTCGTAATTAACAAAAATAATATTCTTTCATAGGTACTGAATATGTCGTATGATCGAAAAAAGTCGTTTATTTGGCTTGGAAATGACGATTATTGACTTTTACCACAATATTTTACATATGAAATAACAGCGATCTTCAATTCCAAGTCAACTCTGACTCCGTTTTTTGTTTAATCATATAATATTATATTAAATTGTTTAATGATAGAAAATCTGTTTTATTAACGTACTGTTGCCCAAAATCCGTAAATTTACGGATTCATCAGTAGTTCTGACAACACTGTCTCCAGCAACCACTCACTCTGCCGACGGAAAACAGAACTACGGTACAGTATTCCTTATCCGCTGCGCTGTAAACGACTACCAGCGCGCAGCAGCGCGGCGCAGAGTTAAACTAAATCTCGAAATTCTCGGACATGCTGATGGTAACGCCAGGTTTTGTGCCACGAAATCAAATATTTGTAGAAAAATTAAGTATTTTTAGAAATATTAACAACCGATCTAAATATACAGGGTTGTTCACCACATACGACGCGGAGTATTGTAGTTAAACTCTTAGATTTTTGCAAATTTTAAGTTTTGGGTTCGTTGAAGGACTATTAGAGCTACAATTTAAAAATATTTTTACAAGATACAGAGTGACCCAAATAAATAAAACATATCAAAGTTGTATTTTTTTAAATGGAACACACTGTATATTATTACATTTTTAGTTTTTGTGATTAAATATATATATTCCATAGGTATATTGATAAATGAGGTCTAAATGATAAAAAAATGCATTTTCTACGAAAACTTGAAGGAATAGGTAAAAGTGGTATAATACAATTTGATGGACAATTAAATTGTGCATCTGATTCTCCTAAAATATACAGGGTGTTCTATTTAAATTAAACCAGTTATTGCCGTTTAAAGCTAAAAATTATTTAAAATAAATTTTTAGACACTCTGTAGGAGGTAGTATTATTTTTATTATTGCAACACAATAACTGATCAATAATTAAACTTCAGTAAATATTTAGTATTAAAAACTTTGATACCCTTGGAGAAATGTAGCCTTAAATTTTTTACTGAAATTTCATAAAATTGAAAATATTTCAAAAACGGTAAGGTTTAAGGGTGATAAACCTTAATCCAATTTACCTTTATTTTGATCATAGAAACTAAAAATGTAATAGTATACAGGGTGTTTCATTTAAAAAATACAACTTTGATATTTTTTATTTATTTGGGACACTCTGTATCTTGTAAAAATATTTTTAAATTGTAGCTCTAATAGTCTTTCAACGAATCCAAAACTTACAATTTGTAAAAATCTAATCGCTTAGCTACAATACTCCGTGTCGTATGTGGTGAACAACCCTGTAGAAACAATATTTTTTTCTTTGTCTGTTCACTCAAAATGTTGTACCTACATACGCGTACTTAAAAATTTAGTGGAATTTTTAATCATACAATATTTGGTAACTATAAAGGGCGAGTCTTAAAGAGTGCAGCAAAATTTTTGAAAAATATAAATTTTCAAATTTTTTTCGCGGAAAATACTACCCTAAAAATATGTGCAGTTATTTAAGACTGACCCTCTATAGAAAGATTTTCTTACACTAAAACTAATGTGATTTTTGAAGTGTGAATATGTAGCGAATTAACTAAAAAGGAATCTGAAATATTAAGAAATTGAAATAATAGAATAAGGAGTATACTTGTGTTCTTAGCTTAATTATAAATTTTTATTTGAAGATTTGTAAATTTGGCTTAAATAAACATTTAAACTGCATAAATTGCTTTATGGTAAAAGAATCAAAAGTTGTATAAAATATGAAAGTTTAAATAAGAATGAAAATAAAATGAGGCCAAAAATAATACAAGCAGAAATAAAGTTTGTAAGTCAAGAAAAGCTAAAATTTTCTAGTCTCTAAAAAAACTATAGTATTTTAGCAAACAGATACTGGAGGTACTTCAGCAAACAGATACCGTTTATAATAAATTAACCATTTCAGTAAACCTGATTTTTTTTCTATAGCTATTATGGCGCGCGTATTACTTTAAAGAAACTAAATTGTCGACATGCGTGGAGGTATTGGAGGTATATTATTCAAGATTGTC